CAATCATCTTGAAGATGGAACTAATAGCACAAAACTGAATCACTGAATTCATAAAATCTATTGCTAATATTGTCCATTGATCTGCCTTTTGTTCTTTAAACAATCTTTCTTTTTTTTCTTTTCTTTTTTTAAATGTCTAAATTAGAGAGTGGTGAAAAAGAAAGGTAATGATTTTTTAATAAATTGACAGCTTTTCATGCTAGAAATTAGAAAAGAAAAAAAACTAACATGATTTTTTATATAAAAAAACTGTGAGTTCAATATTTTGGGGTGATGAAAATGTACTACATATCAGGAATGACCCACGTGCTGTATGCCTGATTCATTCTACAAATGAATGAGGGCAACATATACACACACACACACACACACAAAAGTGAACACTCAAGACGGGAAACTGAACACACCAAGAAAGAATAAGGTGCTGGTATTATGAAAGCACTGTCTCTTAGGATACTGAGTAGCCCGTTTGAATTTCCTTGCCTCAATATGTTCCTCTCTCTGTCCTCTCCATTATGAGCTCACTTCATTAAGATTCTTTCTAATCTCTTCTGTTAATAATGATGGACTAATATGACTAAGCTCTTACAGCAGCAGCAGTCTAGAGGACCTTTATTCATCCACTTCCACACAACATCATTAAAACATCCTGGATGTAAGATGTGGATGAGGTAAGAATTCTCTTCAATTGTACAAAAGGGAAGAGAACAAATTGCACAGCAATGCAGGCATCCTCATTATTCGTGTTACGTCTGTTGTGTTAAAGCACTTGCTCTATTGATGGCTCCTAGTGTTTCTGCTACTGTTTCTTTGACTATGTCTGGCAACGAAAGAGAGAATAAGTCTGCTTCCAAATGCTCAAAAGCTTCATTCTTACATGTTTCAAAGTGGAAAAGAATGGTTTGTATCATTAAAGCTTTGTTGTTGGTTGCTTTTCAACAAAAAATACTGTGGAAAAGAACATAAAAAGTGCCATCATCATTTATGTTTGCTACGAATGCCTATTTGTTGTTTTTGTCCAAGACCCAGATTTCCAATCTTAAAATATTAAAATTCATCCAATAAATTAAATATGAATCACTACACTTGATAATTAGAACTATGATAATCTTAAAACAAAGAGTGAAATCTTTACAGTAATGATGTTTTTCCACCATGATAACAATTTTCCCACTAATAAAGTTTTAAAATTATAAAGTTAGCAAACTTGGCTACCTGTACACAAACATATTTAAGATATGTGATGTGCGAAAAAAAAAAAAAGATTATTATAACTTGTGAACAGAATATTTTCAATCAAGACTTGACTTGACATTGTTGTGGACAATCTGGCTGTGTTTTAAGAAAGCTTATTATCTAAATATTCACAGGTACAAAAATATCCATATTTTGAAGAAATACCCATATACCTTTGATGCTATTAATGAAAGATACATTAACTGAGTGAGACATACAGTATAGAGATGAACAATGAAATGTGTGTGTTTATTCAGTATATGTAGAATCAGTAACGTCTAAAGAGAATTACTAAATTGTTTTTATATAGGAATGTGATTTACTCCTCACAGCCTCTGAACAGAAAGTGTTTCCTCAATTAATATGTCTCATCTAGATGGCGTCTGAGTGTGTGTGTATATTTGTGTGTGGGGGGGGACTGTGCATGTCAGGAGGTATGATAAACTGTGACTAATCATGATATCACACCTAGGCCCTTTACTATGCCTAATACTGTTTTTTATCACTAAATTGTATTTTTGTATGTCAAAGTCTGGGACCAATTCTAATTAGTAATTAATTCAAAGTCAACAACAAATTCTTTTGACTTACTGCAAGTTGCAAAATTTATGGTATCATCCATTGATCTTCATGGTACAGTCAGCTAATTATTTTATTTATTTGTTTTTATTTAAATGTTAAACTTTTTTATATTCATTTTTTTATCTGTTTTATCATCTGGTGATTTTTCTTGAATATATGGGGATATACTTTTTGTCTTTGGCCCTTTGACTGAACATCGGGTTATAAATGGGTATTGTTTTCAAAAGATGCCAAAGGTGATTATAATTTACAATGAACTGTCTGCAGCAGCAGAAAGTAGTGTGAGCATGTTGCATGTTTAATAAGGTTCTCTGAGGAAGACACAAACGAGGAGACAGTTTTCCACATGCTTTGAAGTGCTGCCCAAATCACAGACCCAGCTCATTATTTTCATATACTATCAGCTCAGCTGCTCTTGAGGATCAAACACGATTCAAATCCTTCAAAGTGGATTCCAAAGATAAAAATAAAAAATTTTATTGAACAAATGTCATTTATGTACTAAAATATGTGCATTTATCTACACCACATAAACAAAAGTAAGTGAACACACTGATTTAAACTGGCAGATTAGGCTTTTAGAGAAACTCTAGTGGTGACTATGTAAAGTGAAATAAATAAAGTTATTGATAACTGAAACTAAATTTTGAAAAAAAAAATTATATATATATATATATATTATATTTTATTTTATTTAGGGTATGTACTAAAAACTGAAACTAAAATAAAAAGAATCAAACTGTATATTTAAAAATGCTCCTTGTTTTTTTCACCCCCCCCCCCCCCCCCATATCCCACACTCCTTTCATCATACCCTTGCTCTTTCTCTTTATGCATCTGATGCTTCCCAGCTCTTTTGTTGCAGATATATTAGTGACCTTGTGATTTACAAAAGTCCTCTTTTCCATCTAAATACCTGCAGTCTGAGTGCTTTAAAATACCCTGTTTATGTACACTTAAATTGATGCATTTCATCACATCTGTGTAGGCGTGTGTTATGTGGGATTTGTTTTTGTCTGGGTGCATGCGTGGATAAATTCTGTATCACTTTATTAAGACACAATGGGGATTTGTTATTTTGCTGAAAATGATCGGGCTGTACGCCATAACTGATCCTTTGATTACCCCATTTTAATGCTTTCTTCTAATTTTAATGCTTTTTTCTAATATATGGTCACACACACACACACACACTGGTTTTCATGTTTTATGGTGACATTCAATAGGTGTAATGGTTTTTACTGTACAAACTAGGGATGCAACAGTACAGTTAACTCACGGTTCAATACATAGTGTCAACCTTTTACATTTGCTTGCCTCTCTCTCGCTCTCTGTGCTCACATACTGCATTTTAATACAGACAATTCCTTAATAAAACGGTTTTCATTTATATATTGCTCTGTTTCTCTTCTCAGACAACAAGATGAATATGAAATTATGACTGAAACATGGCCCATTAAGGCTATATAACCAGCGCTGCACTAAAGTCCCCAAAAGGAAAACAATTACTGGTGTTACTATCCTTGTGGGGACATTTGATCCCCTTGACTTAGGGAATACCAGGTACACACACACACACACACATGGTTTAACTATTTTATAGAGGACCTTAACCTTAACACAAATCCTAATGAAACAAAAATGATTTTGTGAGTCTATCAAAAAATAGAGAACCACTTGACAAGTCAGTTTTTGACAAGTCATGTTTATTTCACTTATCTAAATGGGGACATACCATGTATTTATTGTTTTTATATAAAGGTAATGATAATTGCTACGGACTAAACATAACTTTAACTCTTATAAACTTTATTTATTCTTTATTTATGGATTGTTTTATCTAATTAAGGACGTTCATGGATGTCCCAAAGGGAGGTTTTAGATTTAGCTCACTTCTGGGAAGACATTTGTCCATAAATAAAACTGTACAAACACTGTAAATATGGTCCTGCACATGAGAGATCTCATCCTGATGTTTCCATATTTATAAGCTGAACCCCAATTTAAAATATGTGAGTTGTGTAAACTGTAGGCTGCCTCCTGAGATTTTCAATAAATCAATTTTAATAATTAGCCTAATAAATGTAGTGCTTCATAGTAAAGAAATAGTTTTATTTGATGCATTATATATTAATAATTTTTAAATATGTAAAAGTGTTTTTCATTGAATTTAATTTTTCAGTTGCATTCCTAGCATGAGCTCACGAACCTTCTGCATTTCCCTCATGAACCTTTTCCCTCATTAACCTTAATTAAATTAAATTAACACGAGTTCATTAAATGCACAGTAATCTAGCGCAACCTGCTGGTCGTTTTAGGTAGTGGGCAAAGCTGTCAGCTGGTACAACACACACATAAATAATAATAACAACAAAACTCTCTTATATTCTTAGCAATATATTATATCAGTAATTGCGTTATAAAATATGCCTTAACACTTCCAAATGATAGGTTTAGGGAAAGTTTCCTTATGTTCAAATATTTCATCAATGTGTAATTTTGAAAGAATAGTGGCTCAATGTTTAACTGATCATGTCTAAAAGTCTAAGAGATTTTAAAATGCCCGTTGTTGCTGTGCCACATATTTCATAAGGCTGTCATACATTTTATGTTAAAACAGGTGCCAAGTATATCTAATTGCAATCTTTGTTCCTAAGATATGATTCTGATTCTGAAACAAGATAGGTCTATTTAAACCTGTGGGTCAGTTGTTCTTGCATTCTGATATTAGTGATTAGTGTTGTTGATTGCAATTTTTGTGTGCATTTTTTCCAATTGAATTATATTCAATTAATTATTATTATTAATCAAAAGTAAAAACCTTTAAGAGTTTATGAAAGGGAAAGACATCAGATGTTCCAAGAACTGGAACTGATGGGAATTAATAGTATATCTCTAAAGACACTATTAGGTTATGGGGTAATGCAATCAAGAATATATGGAGAATTGTTTAAGTATTTTAAAAAGACAAGATTAATGGAAAGAGTTTGAAGTTTGGAATTTTGGATTTATTTACATTTTTAAAAAATTATTTTATTATTATTATAATAAAATGTTTTTATTATTATTATTTTTTTTTTATCTATAATAGTTGAATACTTCATAGCTGAACCGTGTACGTTTCACATTCCAGACCAGTAGGTGGCGGACATGCACCTTTAACGTTGGTTTGCCAATCCGCCAAAAATCTCGAGAGAAGAAGAAGAAGAAGAAGAAGGGACGCTTTCTGGTTTTGTAACGCGCTTTGTTTTCCACTGGTCGCCGCTTTTGTGCCGCTCCACTATCACAGCTCTAACTCAAAGTTTGGCTGAATTGTTGTCCACTGGTGGCGCCAGAGTCCAGACGTTAAGTTTCTTGCTTCAACTCTTGAGAATCACGGCGTTGTCACTGGTCCAGTTTCACCCCGCCCGTCCGTCCGGTGTCCGCCGCGCAGTCGCTATGGACGCACGCTACTTTGTTAAACTACTCCAACTTGGATTATCGGACGTTTAGTGTCGGCTTTCGCCTTCGCCGCGACTGAAGAGACTCTCCAGACGCGGAGTGATGAACAGCGACCCCGAAAACACGCCAGTATATCCGTGAACCTCCATCCGGACACAAGTCGATGCTCAGACGCGTGTAGACGTCTTTAGTTGTTGTGTAGTTGTTTCAGTGATGTTACTCGGCAAAACGTGATTATGTTACCCTATAGTCTCTACGCTCTCTTAGGAAAGATAGTATTGAATGCCATAAACGTTTAACGGTGTAACGTTAAATATTGTGCTCTGTACGCCACTGCCAGGATCTAACGTTACTGTTAACGTTACCCGGGGTTTGAATAGAACTCTAGCCCGGGGCTCGGAAACCGGCCCACTTCGGGACATTTTTGCCTTTAAGGAACGCATGGGGTTTTACAGACGAAGGCTCTGCTTAAACGAAGGAGTCGGAAGCGTTAGAGGCAATGTGCGAGATTCACTAAAGGAGATCTGTTGTTACATGTGAACGCACGCGGACAGAATGGCTTCATATGTGGACAATAGTTTTCGGCACGCGATCATAAAGAATCCTGCCGACAGGACGCAACAGGTAAGAGACCACCGCACCAATGCTGCCTAGATAGGGAACACGCTAGATTTAGAGACAACTTGTGCGTTTGTGATTGTTTACTTGGTTTGCGGCCACACACTAGCAGTTTGAGGGACTGTGGTGGACTGGCTGAATGAAACAATGTATGCAACTAGAAAACGGGTTGTATAACTCAAGCTGACTTATAATGTCTACAGAAAACTGTTTATGCAATTTAAGCTGTCTCAGTTAATCAGACTGTAAAACTAGAACTACAAAACGATTTATATACAACGCAAGGAAACAGTTTAGCTGAATTAATTGTTTCATTTAAACATTTTAAATCAGCTTGAAATAGTTTCATTTAGACAGTTGACTTAAAATGTCTAAATAAAGCACTGTCGCCATCTCATAGAGGCATTGAATACATTGTTTCATCTAGACCAGCTTGTTTAAAGGCGCCACAAGCTCCAGTTCGACTCATTTTTGGGGAATTGTGGTGTCCCTTTATTATGCAGTCGAGCAAGTTGCTGTTTTGTTCCACATCTACGTTCAGTTTAGTCGTAATCTGAATTAATATAGTCACACTCATTCGAGTTGGAAGGACCTTGTTTCTTTGGTATTTCAGACGCGTTACTCATCTGTCTGAAGGGAGTATTTCCTCACCGTGCCCTTCAGTCCAGACTAGATCATCCTCATTTAAACCATCTGAAATAAACAAATGTCTCAGCACCAGACCACAAGCTCATTAGAGTTTAAGCTCTGTAAACGACCAGCATTGTATGAATGTCTGAGCACACTGAACCTCCTGTCTGTGGCCACTTAAAACTACGTTTTGAGTTCTGTGTGTGGGGCTTTTGGGTTGTGAGTTTCAAGCCCAGGAATTTAATGAATCAAAAGAATGTGAGGAATGTAGTTTATAGTGTAGGCCATTCAGATCTGGGCCTCTTTGTGCTGCCATGAAGAGTTAAAGCACTACTCATCTGTCTGAAGGGAGTATTTCCTCACCGTGCCCTTCAGTCCAGACTAGATCATCCTCATTTAAACCATCTGAAATAAACAAATGTCTCAGCACCAGACCACAAGCTCATTAGAGTTTAAGCTCTGTAAACGACCAGCATTGTATGAATGTCTGAGCACACTGAACCTCCTGTCTGTGGCCACTTAAAACTACGTTTGAGTTCTGTGTGTGGGGCTTTTGGGTTGTGAGTTTCAAGCCCAGGAATTTAATGAATCAAAAGAATGTGAGGAATGTAGTTTATAGTGTAGGCCATTCAGATCTGGGCCTCTTTGTGCTGCCATGAAGAGTTAAAGCACTTCCTTAAAGGTCCCATATTGTCAAACCTGAAATGTCCTGGCTTTTTTCACGATTACTGAGGTCTAGGTGCTATGTAACTACAATACAAGTTTCAAAACAGTAAATCCACAGTAAAATTCACACAGCCTGCTTAAAGTTCTAGCGATTTTTCACGAACCGTTGTGAAAAGTTGACGTCAGAACTACACAGTCACTGCCTTCAGTCACCACCCCGAGCACCGCCCACCATCCCACTCTCCTTTAGCCAAACCCCCAGACAACATCGGGTCCACAGTAAAATTCACACAGCCTGCTTAAAGTTCTAGCGATTTTTCACGAACCGTTGTGAAAAGTTGACGTCAGAACTACACAGTCACTGCCTTCAGTCACCACCCCGAGCACCGCCCACCATCCCACTCTCCTTTAGCCAAACCCCCAGACAACATCGGGTCCATGCCATTGCTGAGCAACAACAACAACACGGAAACATGTCGGAAAGGTTAACTTTAACCACGAAACCAGATCGGCCGACCACTCAAAGGATGGACGATCTGACGGGATTGTTACTATGAGGTGATCACATCTAACCTGTATAGTAAAGATAAACTCACCGTGTCTATCTAGTCATGATGAAGATGTATATATATTTCAATTTCAGCAAGCAACTGTTTTTACAGCTAGATTATTGTTCCAGCCACAATTAATCACAACAATGTATATACAATTACAAATGATTATATATAAATCGTCAGTTTGCTGTTTTACACACATGCACACAGACATTATTTCATACACGACATAGTTGTGAGATGCAAGAAACATAGACATATGGCAAGAAATCTGTAGATGCGCCCATAACAACAAAAGACAGTACTTTATTGAATCTTTTCTGATAAGAAGTGTGCGCTGCAAACGTGAGCATTTTTGACGATCCTTTCTGTCCAGTCTGTTCGTTTTATCGCGTTTAACCACAGCTGTCTTTTTGTCTGGCAGTGGCAGCAGATATGCGATCAAGTTTATAATTTGAGGCTGTATTACATCGATTCTGGCACCCAACATCACAACAAGATGATATTTTCAGCTCCTTATGTAGCCGAACCTGCGCTGGTTTGAATGGGCCGCCTCCAGTTTCCTCTTTGTTTTGCTGCCTCCAGCTAGCGCTGTGACATCGCTGACCCTAGTTACCTGTGGTTGGCCTGGCCGTGCGTCACTCAGAAAACAACAGGCCAATCAGAAGAGAGGCTCATGAATATTAATTAGACAGACCAAAATCGACCTGTTCTCAGCAGAGCTCCTGAGAGAGGAGCTGTAAAAATATATTGAGATGGTTTTTGGTACTTATACCGCAAATATATATTCTTAAGGACATCAAAACCTCAAATAAAACTCCAGAAAGGTGTACAATATGGGACCTTTAAAGGAATTCACATTTTGTTTATACTCATACCCCCGGTTTCACAGACAAGGTTTAAGCCTAGTCCCAGACTAAAGTGTAAGTCTGAGCTGTTTTAACAGAAAGAAACTTGCACTGACTGATCTTAAAATATATCAGTGCCTCTGTTTTTGTCTCAAAATGCGCACCAGTAATGTTTTTTCTAAGGCTCGTTAATAAAAATTGCTTAAATGTCCTAATTGAACTATCGCCTAGTCCTGGCTTAGTCTAAGCCCTGTCTGTGAAACCAGGCCTTAGTGTAATATGTTCAGGTGCATCACTAATTCCAAGAAAGGATTACGGATCAGGCCCTGGGACCTCTGAGTTCCAGGGGTCTCAAGCTGAGAGAAACCCAAAAGCCACTGTTGGCCCAGTGTGAAAAATTAATGAAGAGATGAGCACTAACACCTTCTGAACACATTATTGCAGCTTTGATGTTGTGTACTAACTTTTGCATAATTAAGTAATTGCATTGTGTCTCTGACTGCAAACTATTAGTTAGAAATCTTGGGAAGTAACCAAAAGGGGTTGTATATTTAAATCTGCTAAATGTTGATCCATGAGCTATTACCTTTTGTGTGCTTTAGCAAGCAACTGGAGATTCCCAGTTTCCAGTGGGCTTTTTCAGTCAAAAGTGTTTTGTGACTGTCACTTTGGGTAAGTGTCAGCTCAATAATAAATTAGTAATATTAGTCTAGTCCACTAGCTGATAGATTTTCAGTTGGTTATTAATGTGGGCCCTTGTGGTCATCAGATGAACATGTTAAAGTAGTATACTCACTACTCACTCATCGCAAAGTTCATTCTTCATTTTTCATCATTCAGGGGTGAAAAGAAGTTTGAAATACCTTTGCAGAGGTATACTGTTAGCGAACATCCCAACGTGTTTAGATGAATATGTAAATATGTGCTGCACGCTTTCCTCTCTAAAACAAAATAAACGCACAACAAAATTGACAGCAGTGAAAAACGGCAGTTAAGAAAGCATCTGATCATAGTGATGTGAATGTAATTTAACACAATGTAATTTAATATAATGTAATACAGTATAATATAATGTGCACAAGCTCTGCAATTCCGTACTCCAGTCATGTCATGTTTATTTATAGCACTTTATTCTGTTTGCTCGAAAGCAAGCAGCTTTACAGTATTAAAAAAGGGGGAAAAACAGCACCAGTTATATGCCTATAACTTTTTTATGTATCTCAAAGTTTAATGTAATATTTACAAATAGCAGTAATTTAGAAATCTACTGCTTATCCCCAAACAGTGCAATTTAATGTCAAATACAAAGAGTTCTGTTGTTGCACTATTTGTTTTGAGTTGTTAATTTTGTTTATTAATATATTGTGGTGGTCAGAGATAGACTGTGCATGTGGGTTAGTCACTCTGATGATTGTGGCAAATAAACACATTTATGGTTCTAGTAGAACTATATTGGAAAGTGTTGCAACTCTCCCAGTATGATTAGTTATGATTTTACGTTTTTTAAACATGTAGACGAAAAGACTGACAATGTTTTATATCAAAATAAACACAAAAAGCCTTTTTATATGATAAATTTACATCCATTAACATGATCACAAATCAATTATGTACCAGATGTAGTTTTTTATTTTTTGTCCTTTTAATCATTAATATTTTTACACAGTGTTTCGGCTTATGCAGTCACTTTGAAGTATGTATTATAGTGATTTGCCAACATAGGTCAAGCAATACTCCCAGGTCTCCTCTGCCCATAACTCCCGAATGCTGTCGAGTTATGACATTATTGTAAATAAAGAGGTCAGAAAAATGGAACATCTAAATGTATTCATTCACAATAAGAGCTATAACATGCATTTGCAAAACAGATAAGGTGAATTGTCTTTTTATGCTGACTTTAAAGGAGGTAATATATAGTTCTGATGAAGATTCTTGTCAGGAAATATTGAGGTACCACAGCAGTGGTGGGTGAAAGGACAGGATTAGGCGATTGTTTGTTATTTTTTGTCCATTTTTCTGTTTCTTTTTGATTGTTTACTATAAGGATTTGCACAGATGCCATCCTGTAGACAAGCAAACGTAGCGTTGCTGCAGTTGGTTTATGGTCAGGGCCTCAGATGTTTGTGAAACCGTGGCACAGGTCAATGTATTAGTCACACTTTTACACTATTTTCCTAATTAATGCTGTTCAGTTGCATTGACAATCTGTGTTGTTAAAAGCGCTATATAAATAAAGGTGACTTGACTTTAGAGTCATATGCAGAAATACTTCCATTCTATGCAGTATATTTGTGCTGATTTGAATAAA